GTCCGCCGACACCCTCAAGGCCGGGCTCATCCGCACCCACATCAGCCGCTGCCAGGTGTGCATGAAGAACCTGTGAGGGGCCGCGCTCCGCCGGGGGCCGCTCTGGTGCTTCCTCTTAACCTGTTACCTCAGAGGGCGCCCCCCAGACGGAGCTCCTTCTTGCCTCCGAAAGCCGGTGGAAAGGCTACCACAGGAATTCCTCACCCGCGCTTATGCCAAACAGCCCCTCGCCGTGCGCGGGTGCCGGACCCCTCCCCGCCGCAGGCGCTGTCCCGCACCCCGCAGCCCTGTCCGGCCGCACTAGACTCTCCGCTAACTTCTCCCTCCGCACCCGTGCAGTCACGGCTTCCGAGCACCGCCCCAGCCGCAGACGGAGCTCCCGGCGGGCTGGTGTGGACAAAGGAAGCCTGAGCTCACCGCCGGGTCCCCAGGGCGGGGTCTCCGGCCCCTGCGCCAGCAGCTCTGTTTCCTCCCGGAGACCACTGATGTGGCTTTGAATCCCCTCAGGAAAGCCAGGCGTGCCTTTTCTTTTAAAAGACTTAGCGGGTCCTGCGGGGGCTCCTGTCCCGCACGTCCTTGCAGACCCCCCGGTTTGGGGGCCCGGAGGAGCAGACCCGCCCCGCCCCCCGCGGGTGGCGCACTCAGGAACCCACGGCCCCAGGTGGCCCCGGGGACTGACCCTCTGTCCTGGGTGACTTGTACGCCTCTGACTCATCTAACCTCTGTAACGACCACAGAATAAAAGTTGGTTTTGAGCTTTTTATACCCCGTGTTGTTGGCGGCCTTCATTCGCGTCTGAGGGCACAGGTGGCCGGCGCAAGCCCCACGGGGGTGAGCCCCGCGTGGGTGAGCCGGTCCCCGCTGCGCTTCTCCCGAGATCCCGCAGACGGAGCCCAGGGTGTGGCGCTGCCATTCGCACTCAGGGAGCCGTGCGTGTTCCCTCACCCCAGCCGCCACTCGTGGGAGCCGTGCAGAGACGCACTCGCGATGCCACTCAGGTGCTTCTCACCTAAGGCCCCAGATCAGATCTCCGAATGGCCAAGAAAGCTGCAGGCACACTCTGGCTTCAGTCTCTCTGGAACCTGGCTGGTCTTTGGGAGCCCAGATCAGAACTTATTTTTACCCTTTAAAATTCAGTCTCATATTAAACGTTTCTGATGGAAATTTCCACATCATAAGGTAAGCATTCCGCCTGATGATGTCGTTTGAAATACAGCAGCAACCACCTTGACTTGCCTTCCCCCAGAAGAGGACCAGGACAAGGACTCTCCACAGGAGGGTCCTTTAGGGACATGAGCCCCCATTAGGGGAGTGGAGGGGGCCTGGCATAGTGAACCCAGGAAGGAGGACACCTTACTAAGGGGGTAGCCACCATGGGCAATTTAGGGCTCCCTCCTGTGGGCACCCACGGAGGAAGACCACAGAAGGAGCCTCACCTTGTGCAGCCTAGGCACTGAAAAGGGACGTTTCCCTCCGCCAGCTCTTGCTCCTCATGGTCAGGGGCTGCCTGCGACTGTCCAGTCCCTTGTGCTCCCAGGTGTGCGGGCTGCGCGGGATCCCAGGTGGAGGGGTGCTCCCAGGTGAGCGGGCTGCGCGGGATCCCAGGTGGGGGTAGTGGAAAAGCAGCAAAGCTAATGTAAGATGCCACGGGCACCACCTTACGCTGACGGTTTCCATAGCAACAGCCCTAGCACCCCATGGGAGGTGAGTCTTGAAGCCAGGATTTGAAAAATGCCCAGCACAGGGGTCCCCGCAAAACTCATGGAGGCAGCTGTCTATTCCGGACTCCGGTCCCCAAGATCAAGGGGCAGCCTCGAAGTGTGTCCCAGTCCTGAGGGCAGCTTGGCTTGGGTGTGACGCCATGAAGGACGGGGCGCTGGGGACCCACACTCTCCCTAGTGGATCACAGCCCCTGATGGCCTCCCCGTCTACAGACTGACCCCTGTGGGACCGGCGGGGGGAGGGAGATCTTGCAGAACACAGGCCGACTCCCGGGAGCCTTGTCTTCCTTCCAGAGCTCAAGTTCAAGAGCAAAGGGCAGCCGCAGTCGGCCAGCTCCAGAGGTGTGGGTCACGTGACAACATAAACGGGCCTCACTGCAGCTGTTTCCAGAGCCCATCTGAGCACTGGGGTCGGAGCCCAGCCGCTCCGTGGTGGGAGTGGAGACCCAGCTCTTCCCCGGGCTGACTTACCCCAATTCTATGCTCTGGAGAAGGGAGGGTTACTAGAAAGGGGATTCTTGCATCCGGGTTATGGGGACTCTGGGGGGGGTCTCCCTCCCTGCCCCAGCACAGGAACCCCACCCCCACCACCTACAGAGGCGTGAATGTGTGAGGCCACCAGAGGGCTAGGCCAAGGGTGGAGGGTGGAAAGTGCTTCCGGAGATGCACACACGCTGTGTCTGGGGGATGACGGGTCCCCCTCCCCAGGCCAACCTACCCGGCTCACCCTGCCCTGACAATCAGCCCCAGGCTCTGCTTCCAGGCTTCCAGGCCTTCCCAGTACAAACAACCCAATGCGGGGACCCATGGGGCCCGCCTCTGGTCTTGGACAGCAGGTGCACCACCGACCGGACCTTGAGAGGGAGGACACAGCAGCACACGGAGGCATGTGGGGAAAGTGGGTACTGGCAGTGGGGCTGGCTGGACACCTGGGTGAGGGTTTTCCCTGCACACAGGCAGCTCTGTCAAAACTGAGTTCTTCAGAAACGACAAAGTTGGGGGCCAGGGGGGTCAGTGGGTTAAGCCACTGCCTTCGGCTCAGGTCATGATCTCAGGGTCCTGGGATCGAGCCCCCCATCGGGCTCTCTGCTCAGCGGAGACCCTGCTTCCCTTCTCCCTCGGCCTGCCGCTCTGCCTACTTATGATCTCTGTCTGTGTCAAATAAATAAAAACCTTTAAAAAGAAATGACAAAGTTGCACTTCTAAGAGGTCAGCCTCACAGCCTGTGCTGAGGGGGAAACAGGGCTCCCAGCTCCCAGATTACAACATTCCCAGCCCGAACCATCCAGGCTGCTGCTGCCCCCGCACCCCACCTCAGGCATCCAGAAACATCCAAGGAAGAGATGTTGTGGAGGAGGCGGCGTCCATCGCTCAAGGACAGTGGAGCCCGGGGAGAGAATGCACAGTGGCGGCTCTGAGACCAGGGACAGCAGCCTAACCAGCTGTCCATGGCCTCCCCACCCCCCAGCAGAGAAAAAGAAGGAATATTCGAGGTCACCAGCTCAAACCCACATCCAGCCAAGAAATTCCCTGTGTCTCTCCACCGGCTGGCTCACTGACCCAAGTGACCTGAAGCTTCCCCAGTGCTGACCGGGTTCCCTGTGTGGGGACCGGGCCCACGCGGTCAGAGCTGAGAACCCACGAGCAGGCTGGGACCCACAGACCGGGCCGGCATCCGAAATCCACCTGAGACAGAGCCCACGTGACGCCTATTTTTAGGACAACAATCAAGGGTGAAACCCTTCCGTGTGGTTGATGGAGAGAACGTGCCATCCCTGGGCAACCCCCAGAACACGTGGCCAATCAGGGACACAAGCTGGGGGTGCTCAGGGCAGATGGGCAAGAGAAGCAGAGAACATTCGGGGAAAAGGGCCACGGGAACCCAGCCAGCCCTGCCTTCCAGCAGGGACCACAAAAGACTTTCCCAGGACACTTTCTGCTGCACAGGCCACGAGACAAATCCCAGGGCCTTCTGGCTGGCGCTGGTTTCGAGGGCAGGTCACTAGCAAAGGGATAATTAAACCAGCTTGACGACTCACAGATTCATTTTCACTCTCTCATGGGCTCTGCTGTGGGACTGAAGTCTGAGGCCTCTGGATGGGCTCGAAGAACCCGGTGTCGGAGCGGGGGAGCCCCGGGCAGGGACAGGAGGCTGAGCTCACACTTGCGCCTGGAGAAGGCGCACCGCAGGGGGGCAGAGGAGGCCTAATTGGCAGGATCCCCCAGCAGACCACGGCCCTCAGCGCAGTCACCGCACGCTTCCCCCAGAGTAACGACTCACGAAACATACTGCTTTCTTGCTAGCCTCTGCCACACCTCTGTTATGGACGACCGAATCCTTGTCTCCCCCAAAATCCGTCTTTGGAAGCCCGGACCCCCAGTGGGACAGTATTTGGAGGTGGGGCCTTTGGGAGGTCAGGGGGTGGGGTCCTCATGATGGGACTAGTGCCCTTGCAAGGAAAGAGAGCCCAGAGCTCGCTCTGCCCACTCGTGGACACAGTGAGAAGGTGGCGTCTGCAGGGGGACGGGGCCCGACCAGATCTGCCAGCCCCTGGACCTCCACTTCCAGCCTCCAGGGCTGCAGGAGAGAGATGCGCCCGGCCTGCGTGTTGTTCCAGCAGCCCACGTCGGCTGAGACGCCCCTTAAATTTCTCAGAAACAAACCCTGCTGCCTCATACCCTCCCTGTCTTAGAACCTCCTGACGACAAAGCCGCCCACCGACCAAGCACGGGAAAGGGGGCTTCAGGCCAGGAACCGCCCATGTGACCCACGAAGCACACCTGAGCAGAGACAGACCTTCTAGATTTCTGTTCCTGGAGCTCATGTCTCGAGACAACGACAAACGGACCGATCTAAATATTCTGCAATGTCTAGGGTCCACTGCAGGTTTAAAGACGGAAGCGCTCGGCTCACAGCCACCTCCCAGCGCCCCCAGCAAGGGCCCACCAGGGGTGAAAATAAGGTCTCAATCAACAGTCTGCACACCGAGGTCTCCTCGTAATCCTTTTTAATAATAATCATAGCTCACACGGCTACAACCAGTATGAAAGCAATAATCCCGGACTTTGTATAAATTAACAAGCCAAGAACAAAGGTGACACTACCAAACAGAAGGGCCAAATGGTAGGACCAAGGGGAGACCGCCACCAAGACCATGTCTGCGAAAACATGGAAGTGGGACAGGTGCCACAGCCAGGTGCCACGGCCGGGTGCCCACGCACACCAGGTGCCACGGCCGGGTGCTCACACACACCAAGTACCATGGCCAGGTGCCACAGCCAGGTGCCCACACACACCAGGTGCCACAGCCAGGTGCTCACACACACCAAGTACCATGGCCAGGTGCCACAGCCAGGTGCTCATACACGCCAGGGGCCGCAGAAGCCGGGCCACAGGCTTCAGCAAGGCCGGGATGTAGGAAAGGACCAGCACTGCACAACGGTCCTCAGGATCCTGGCTCAGAGGAGTGTTTTCTGCAGGCAATTCCCGTGTCCCCCAATTCCCACACAGCGATGCAGATGGAGGAGCCGTCCCCGCAGACCACAGAACACCCCGCTGTTGTTGTCCCCGGACGTCCTCCTCCGTGTGCCGCCTGCTTCGCAACTCTGGCCCACCACAGACACTGGGGCTTGGGGCCCCGCTGAGTCAGGCACAACACCCAGACCTGGTCCGTCTGGGCGTCTTGTGGCTGCTGATGTCCACGGTCTGCGGCGGCCCCTGGGCTCTCTGCCGCACGATCATGGGCACCACCATGTCGAACAAGGTCTCGAACAGCAGGTCCACGTTGTAGCCGGTCTTCGCACTGGTCTCGAAGCACATCTGCTCTGCAGCCGGCACGGCCTTCTCGTCCAGCATCTTGTACTTGAGGATCTTTCTGTAAAGGGCCACCGCGTCCTCCAGCTGCACCAGCTTGGGCACTTTGGGTGATCCGCCGCTGCCGGCAGTCCCGGGGCCGGGCCCATCCTCCTCCCGGCCCTCTGTGGCCCCCTCCTCGACGAGGTCCACCTTGTTGCCCACGATGGCGAAGAGGCAGTCTGTGCTGGCCGTGTCCGTGAGGCCCAGGAACCTGTCCTCCAGCTCCAGTAGGCTCTGCGGGTGGCTCACGTCGTAGGTGAGGATGATGGCGGCCGCGCCCCGGCAGTACAGGGAGCCCAGGCCATGGAACTGCTCCCGCCCTGGCCGGGAAGACGGAGAGAGAGAGAGAGAGACCCCGGTTATCTCTCGTGCAAGGACGTGCCCCACCAACCACACCCCACGGCAGCCCCAGCGGGACACTGGAAGTGGACCCAAATGCAGGTATGGTCAGAGCCAGGCCAGTGGAGACACTGTCTTGCACAAAGGAGTGAGCGGCCCAGGCCCTACGGGATCCAAGGATGGCGCCCTTCTGCCCCGGGAGGCGGCACAGCAGCCTGGTTTCCAGGCAAAGCTTTGAATTTCACTCCACGCACGTAATTCAGAGAAAGGGTCACGGGCTCACACCACCTGGGTCAAAAGGGATCCCTGACAAAAAAGAAATAAAGAACCTTTGGTCTGTGAGTCTTAGGAGCCTGGACAGAAGGCATGTTACCCACACACGTGTATTTATTTAAAATGTGTGTCCTTTGCCAATAAACCACCATTTTCAGCCAACTGACCAGAGAAACACAAACAATTTCTACCCCAACCCCCATTCTGATCCGGTCCTAACTTAGGTCAAGCTAGCCCGCCTCCCCTCCGGGCCGGCTGGCTGCCCGCCCTGTCCAGCCCCGGGGAGAGCAGCGTGCCGAGAAGGCCGGCTGGGCCCGCACCGGACCGCTGACGTCCCCCCGCACAGAGCCACACGCGAAGCTACGGCTCCCGCTTGTCCAGCAAAGCCCCAGGTGTCTCCCCACGTGATCCAGAGGGGAAGAGGCGCGGAGAAGGTGCCTCCAGGGCCTGCACGGGCTGGAGGCAGCTGTCTCCCGAGCTGCTGACAGTGGACACGACGGGTCAGAAAGCTCCCGAGGGCCACCTGCCGACGGCGGCGTGCACCCCAGAGCCGCACGCTGCCCTCTGCAGCGACAGCCAGCAGTCCTGGGACGGATCATTTCTTTAAAGTTCACGGCAAATGACACTGCCTGGAAGCAGGCAGAACGCCAGCGCCGCAGCCCCCGCCCTGGCGCTTCCTGGACCCACCCCAGGAGGCGATGCTCGAGGAGTCTTTAGAAACAAATGGGAACACTGGCCGAGCGGGCATCAGCTGAGAAGAAAAGCGTGACAGGCTTCCCCACCATCGCTCTGAGCTAGGAGTCCTCCGTCAGACACCAATCCCATCTCCAGCAGCGAGGAGGTTTTCTAACAGGAAAAATGCTCCCAGCCCCCACCCTAGCCCTCCCGGGGCAGTGGCCACGGGAGAGGGCGGCGGCCTTCCAGCCGTCCCGGGGGGGGGGGGGGGGGGGGGGGGGTCTCGGAGTCTGCCAGGCGGTTCGCTGGGGACAACTAAGCCTGGACCTAGAATACTCTTCCTTTCTGGATAAAAATGTCTGCTTTGCCTTTTAAAAACAAGAAAAAGTACACAATAGTGATACGAGAAAAAATCATAGTAACTAAGGGTGCGGGAATGGAAGATCCCACCTGCCAGGCCGAGAGGAGCCCGGAGCCCGTCCGAGCAGCCGCTGCGGTCCCACAACCCAAGGGCCAGGCGTCCCCGCGACTGAAGGGCTTACGGGAAGCCGCCTGCGCACCGGATGCGCTGAAATTCTGTTTCAGAGACTGCGGCATTGGGCTGCGTTCCGACACGTGCAGTGCCCATCACGGCACAGACACAGCGAACAGAACCGGGAACTGAACCCGAACTGAATTCAAGTGGGACGCCCTGGGATGCGCGGCATGGAGACCACAGCGAACATGGAGTGGGGTCGGGGAGACTCGGCCTCTGACAGCCGGCTGCGCCCAGCTCACAGTGTTTGAACTCAAGCCTAGTGAGTTTTCTGGTGGTTTGCGGGCCTAGCGGAGTGAGGCCCTGCTGCTGCGCCCCGAGAAGTTCCGCTCCGGGTCTACGCAGGCGGTGCGCACCAGCTCTCCCGCGGCAGCCGGGCCTGGTCTCCCTCTCGCCCCACACCGTGTCCCCCGGCCTGAGGCCCCACACGCCAACTCCAAAGCCAAAGCCCCGGGGATTCCCATGTTTCACCTCCTGGGCTTCCCGAGGAACTCGACAGCCTCATGGTTAGATTCCGGGGGTGCCAGGCTGCCCCGTGCCAGCCCTGAGAGGGTCAGGAGAAAACCAAGAGCTGCTCCGAGTTGACGAGTGCGACTGCGGGTCGTCGGACCCTGGACTGGGTGACCGGGCCAGGCTGCCGGGGCGGGCAGGAGTCCAGGAGAGCGACCCAGCCTCCTCCACCTCCAGGAAGCCGCCTGGGCTCCCCCTGCGGTGGGTGGTCCACAGGGCCGCAGGTCGGGGGCCTGTGCGACTGTCCTGGACCCCTGGCTCATCTCAAAGCAAATCAAGACGAGACCCATTTCACTGAGGTCCCCCCATGTACTCACATCCACAGGAGGGCCTTCTTTTTGAGGCTGAATAATCTTCCATTGTGTGCCTGGGACACACTTGCTTTGCCCATTCATCTGTCCAAGGACACTGGGGGAGCTCAGTGCAGCAGGGACACACATACTGCGAGATGCCATCTACCCTGAGGCATGGAAGACAGCCACATCTGGAGATGCAGAGACTGGCCTGGTGCTCGCCAAGGCCTGGGGGCAGGGGAGAGGGAGAGACGGAGAGCAGGAGGGGAAGGAAAGCTTGGGCCAGTGACCAGGAGAAGCTGGGGCAGCATCAGAGCGGTGGACATGCCCACGCGGCCTTCCCAGCAACCGCACAAAGGGGGCCTTCCCCTCCGCACATCTCAGAGGGCGAAGCCAAGACCGGAGCCCAGAGCCAGGACCCTGGCCCACCTACGAGGCAGTCTGTGCTCTCACCACCCGTGGGAGAGCCAGACTCTGGGCACAGACCATCTGCTTTCAAGTCCCCACAGTGTGACCTTGGGCAAGGAACTCTTAGCCCCCCGTTCCAGTGTCCTGTGGCCAGTCCCCCCCGAGGGAGGCTGTGAAAGTGGGGGACACGGGGAAGCTCCCAGCAGTGTGTGTGCTCTACGCCCGACCCCTCCCAGACCCGAGCACAGACAGACACCTTCCCATGTCCCGGGCTCGTCATCAGGCGCTCACACACGGGCTCCGGTGGACACGTCCACCACAAGACCGCCGGTCTTATTTTACAAGCCTGCCTTCCAGAGGATGGCCTTCTCCCCAGCTCCGGGTGTGATACTGGATCTGCGGGGCTAGACCTGTGTGGCTGAAAACAGCCCGGCAGCAGGCACAGTGGGGGAAGGGGGGACAGGGACACGAGTCGGCCGCCCACAGGGACCCCAGGCAGCTACTAGACAAGGGAAACTGCTCAATTGGCTTCTCTTCCATTCTCAGCCGTCCTCGGCCCAAGGACCACCAGCCCTCAACCCCGAGCACGGTATCACTTCTGCTTAAATGGTCTGAAATAACACACGGGTGTGGGGCCATCGGAAATCACAATGCTGGCTGCACGCTTTAAACACGGGCATGTTCTGTTTCATTATTTCTGAAATGAGAGTGATGCGGGGACCCCCGTGCCAGAGCGCATGGACCAGGATGTGACGGGGGCGTGGGTGCCCGTGTGAATTGAGAAGCTCCCTGGGGAAGGTGAGGGGCAGCCAGAGGGGACCCCCACCAGCTTGTCTGGAGCAAGTGGGAGACAAGCCGCCAGTTGTCGATGGGAGAAGCAGGAGGCTGCTGATTTCGATGGGTCGGAGAGTAAGGTCTACCAGGAAACACAGACACAAACAAGAAAAAAAAAGGGACTTTTTTTTTTAGGCGGGGGAGCACAGAGGGGCAGAGGAAGAGAGACTCTCCCGCAGACTCCGGGCCCAGCACGGAGCCTGATGAGATCCTCGATCCCGAGACTCCGAGAACATGAGCTGCGCCGAAATCAGGAGTCAGACGCTCCCCTGACTGAGTCCCCGAGGTGCCGGGAAGGAGGAACTCGTAAAACACCCTGCAGGGTCTGGAACACCCACCGGGCAGGAGTTCACAAAAACACCAGTGTGGCCACCTGAGAAAGATAAAGAACTCGGGTCACAGCACCAGAGGTGGCATCGCGGAGAAACAGGCGGGCGTGGAAACAGCCGTCTAGGCGGAGCTGTGCCGTCCCTCCCTTTGAGATCCCGTAAAAACAGAATCCTTCTTCCATGCCCTCAAGTCCCACTGTGGGACTATACACGCGACGTGAGATTACTGCCGCTCGAACATCCTGGGTGTGTTCTGACTCGAGTCCACCGCCACAGGCGGAATCTGGAACATTCTCCCCCTGGCTGTGCTTCGGAACAGACGATGAGCATGGCTGGAGAAAGGCCTGGGGAAACGGCCACCCCCAGCAAGGTTCACAAACGTCTGAAGCCCCTTTGGGCATTAAGAGAAAAGCCGCACCTGTGCTCCCAGGGTGATGAAAGGCCTGGCCGTCCGGGGCCAGCATGGGGCGCAGCCGCCTCTCCCAGTGTGCGCACACAGCAGAGGCAAGGACGCTTCCTTCAAGGATCCACCATCCACCAGGGATCCCAGGCGCACGCAGGGAGCCCCCCACCACCACACACCTGTGTGTCAGCTAACCACAGGGCGGCAGTGCCCGTCTGGACTCCAGCGTTAGTGCAGATGTGACCATGAAGGTTACTGAGACCTGCAGTCAGCTGACTCTGAGTAAGTCGATGGCCTTCCACGATGTGGGTGGGCCTTGTCCAATCAGTTGAAGGCCTTTAGAGCCTGGGTTTTCCTGGAAAGGATTTCTGCCTCAACACCACAGCCTGGGTTATAGAGCCTCTCAGCCAGCTGCCTCACAGATCTGGACCTCAAGACTGCCACACCAGCTCTTCCCCGGACTCTGGCCCGCCAGCCTGCCCCACAGGTTTCAGACTTGGGAGTCCCACCCTCACCCGAGCTGACGCCTCCGGCTCCCTCCCTCTCTCCCTTCCTCCTTCCTTCTTTATTTACTTTGTATTTATTTATAAACTCATGAACTTATACATATTATATTCATATACAAATTTAATATTTACATAATATATATGTAATATATAAATTATGTATAATACATATTACATGTAAATACAAATATGTTTTATGTTATATGTTATATATA